TTTTTTTTTTTTTTTTTTTTTTTTTTTTAGTATTTTAGATTTCTATATATATATATATATATATAAATTGCATTCTAATGTTAAAATTTTCACGGAAGAGCCAGTAGATCTTTACAACAGTAAAGATTTATAAAACATTAAAAAGATGTCCAAGGATTAATGTCGGACGAAATATATAATAGTATTTCTACTGACAGTAGATGTGGTTGCGCATGTCTCTGACATGTATATAAGGGAAATGCAATAAAGAGTATCATATCATAAAAATCGACAAATTTGTAAATATGAATCTTATATTAGTTTATTATTCGATTTAATCTCTTAATATATATTACTGTTTATATTATTTTTTTTCTTTTTGCATAAAAATTATTAAGAAATTAGAGAAAAAAATCATTCGACGTGTTTCTGCAGTGATGAAATATTTTTTGAAACGAATAGCAAGCGGATAGAGATTGAAAAGCGAGATAGAGTTGAAATGTGACGATCAATGGATCGATTTATATTTAGGAAAAGATATTTTGTTATATGAGATGAAAAATCGTGAATGTTATTGTAACGATGAAAGTGGGAAGAAAAGCAATAAAAAAAAAAAAAAAAAGCAAGAAGAAAAAAAATATATTAGGTTTTATCGCAACGTTTCTTGCGAATTAAAAGATCGAATTTCAATGATTTTTTTCAAAGCGCCAATTAAATGCGGTATGTCGTTTTGCGTATGTTCTCTTGCGTATCCGCAATATCGATCTTTATTACGACTCGATCTGTTCAATTAAATTTTTATTTCTTTTCCTTTTCAAAGATGTATTTGATAATTCCATTAATATTATAATATGATTAAAATGAAAACAAAAAAAAAAAAATTAGAAATTTTGGACATTGTTTCAAAATCATTTCGAACGAAACGTTTCACTATTACGAATCGATTTCGTCGAAAGTATGATCGACGAGTGGTAAAACGTGTTCACATTTTTTTACACAATTTTATATCTGCCTTGAATCCATTGCATCCATTTAAGTCTTAGCTCTATTCCGAATAGACGGATTCGGATTGTCGCGAATTTAAACGCACAAATTTACAAGATAATGAAAACGGATGCGATTCTTAAACGGTAGAGAAATAGAAATTTTTCACTTTTCATACTTACAATTTGTCGTAAAAAGCGATAAATAATTCTCGATTCGTAATTTGTGAAACTATAATTAAGATTCATTTATTGCTCGGTAATGCGTTGGAAAAAATTCTGAATAAGTAATAGTTACTTATTTTCTAAAATATAATTTATCATTTTGAGTAAAAAAAAAAAAAAAAAAATCCATCTAATTAAGAAGGTAATCGATAAATCTTTTATTTTCAATACAGCGATTTTCGATATTATATTTGATCTTCGATCTTGAAGCTCCTTTTTTTATCGAGAATTGAAAGTCTCGAACTCGTGTGGCGCAAAGCAATTATACATATATACATATACATATATATATATATAAAGAAAAAAGATAAGAATAAATAAATAAATCGCTTTGGCATATGACATCTTTTAAAAATTCGATACACATACCATTACGAGCATTATGTTATCTAAACGAATATTAACACACGTTAATACTATCATGATAACCTTCGTTTATTTGGTTCTAATGTAATAGTTATTATTAGTTCGCCATCCTTTGTATATATTCGCAACTCTCAATAAAAAAAAAAAAATATGAAAAAAGAAAAGAAACGCATTATCTCTGTTATTGTGATTAATTTCCTCGTATTATAAAAAACTAACCTAACCTTTAAAAATGATTAACGATCATCGCGTAAGGAATTTGAAAGGAGAAGACGAAAGAAAGGAATCCAATACAAGAAATATATTTTTGCAATTTATTTGCAATTTATTTATATAATTAATGTAACTGATTTTGAATAACTATTACTAAAAACCTAAACAACGTATGAAATTTTATACATACTTTTTATTTAAGGATACTAATATGTGGCTATATACAGTGTATGGATGCGCTGAACCACGAATCAAGTTCAACTCTGTTTTGACAATATGATACGTCTAGAAATTAACCTCAAAAGACGGTTTAGACGTTCGAAAGAATGATTGAATTTCTCTTTGAATATCATTCCCACATTTGTTCTATTCTTTTTTTTTTTTTTTTTTTTTTTTTTGCTGTGTTTAGAAATCGGTACAAATTTACAATGCTTCGATCATTGATTACGTAATATACATGTAAATAATTTCGCGGTCACCCTCCATATTACAACGCCAATTATTATGCAGCGTTCTAAAAGGAGATCCAAATGTGTCTGTTGCATACAAAAAACCACATGAATGATTTTATGAATGATTCATTAAATTTATATCCGTATACAAGTATAAAAGTGGTCGATTTAAATAAAAAAATTAGAAAAATGATTATGCGCATGATATTAATCGTCCAATTCCTTTTTAGCACTTTTGTGATACAGTTAACACTATTCATTTTTTAAATCAACTTATAAATAGTATTTTTATTCAAAAAAATTTAAATATCGTGGATTGTATTGATTTATAAAAAGAAAAAAATAGCTGCATTATTCCTTAAATAATTAACGAAAAAAATGGATAAATTCAGCAAATTAATCTCAAGAGCATTCACGTATCTTATAACATCCGTTATGAATTTCATTATCTACAATATTAATACGTTTAATATTCGAGATTGATTTGCGATTTTTTTAATATTTTCCTACCAAGAAAACAAAAAAGTCAAATAAAATTTATATACAAAGGAGCATGTACAAATCGTACACTCGCCTATTTTAACATAATAAAATTAGAATCTTTATAAATCAACGTAAACTAATGAATTTTTTCATTAGTGATAAAAAAATATGTTAATTTAAAAAAAAAAAAAATAATAAAAAGATGCCAAACATACAAATTTACAATTATTACCACACGGAACAAGACCACAAAATGAATGAAAGAAATGAAAGAAATAGATACATACATTTTTTTATAATCAATC